TGACGCCATCCTGGAGTGCACACGGAAGTTTTTCATGGGTACAAACATAGGTACAAAGTGCCGTGTGCACTCCAGAATGGCGTCATAGCACGTAAAAAATTTCGGACGTTTTTCCCAAGCCAAAACACAATAGGAATGACACTTCTGGTCTAGTATCTATTCTGTGACAATGGAACAATCCGATCACTGATTCATTGGATAGTAGTAGTATTGTAGTATTGTACTTAACTTCTGTTTATGTGCCACAGTCGAGACCATGTCAAAGAGATCTATGTAACACATGCAGTTTCGATATACAGCTAATTCAGTTAAATTTGTTTTTGCAAACTTAAAACTGCAAAACCTGGACTTCTAAGCATATATAAGCATCACCATTGTATTTTTCGCGCGTAGAGTTGTGATGTTAACGTTAAGTTGAGACTGATTTAAGGATCCTGAAGGGGTAAAAAGAAACTGGGATTTGCGTAGTTTTGGATTGGGAAAATGAGATTTGGGTTACTGGGAATGAAAGACACAAAAATGGGAAACCCAAATACCATTATAAAGACAGTCGTATAGTTTGACATTTCAGAGTGAAATAACTTTACGAACAGCTACAGAGCAATTTTTGTAGAGAGTTTGTCTAAAAAAGTCCAGGAAAACTGAATTTAATCGACTTATGGCTCAATGCATGAGGTCATTTTTCTGCTATTGAAGTCATTCAGTCACATACTTTTTTTCTCGGCAAAACTAGTTCTAAAGTGAGTAAAGAGGGCAATTGAACGCAGAATTGTGTTTAAAAGTCGTTACATAGATGAGCCGCCTGCTCTGAGTTTTCTTTCAATTTCACAGTGGGAGTGGGATTTGATCTGAAAAAGGGCTGGGAATGGACCATTTGCATTATTATACACTAAATTATGATCTAGACAAAAATTTCATCACAGCTTGAAAGAGCATCACAAAATTAGTAATATTCCAAAGTTTCGTTGCGAAATGTTGTAAAATGCGGATAATATAGCCTTGCGAAATTTGCAATTTTCAGTCATTTTGTATTACGCACGGGAAATTGATGCCCCAACACCCGATTGGGCTGTCAATTTCCCGTGCGTAATACAAAAAGACTGAAAAACGGCAAACTTCGCATGGCTATATTATCCGCATTTTACAACATTTTGCAACGAAACTTTGGAATATTACTGATTTTGTGATGCTCTTTCAAGCTATGATGAAATTTTGGTCCATTGGGATTTAGAGAAAATTTGGGCTGGGAAAATGGAATCTAGACCACCCACCCCCTTCAGGACCCTCTGATTTTCTGACCACCAAAACTACAAGGCAGATCCAGAATATTTTACGTCCAACTGCATGCTCCTTCCCCCGGAAAGCATCAGCCCCCATATGCCTATACTAACACACCAATTATGAGAGTATATACATGGTTTGTACTGTATCTATATATAACTTTTTTTAAAGGTTTCAATGCGTACATCTGTTATCTTCACGTGGAAACAGCTTATAGAAACCCAGTCCTTCGAGTTTTCTGTCAAATGCTGGTCGATGAAACACGTAAGTGTTGATTCATTGAGAGTACGAATTTCTAAATTGTAGAATTTTATAAATTTATTACCAAAACCGCAGATACTTCTTCTCGCCCCCAAAAAAAAAGTGTCTTGTTTCCGTGTCAAAACAATCATAAATGTGACTACATTCCTGCACCTATTACTGCTAAAATCAACCTATTATTAGCTAGTTTCAGAAGTTTTTGGCAGTCTATAAAAAGCTGACAATACAAGACGGCACTGTTCGGCATGTTTCGATTCACATTAATAGACAGCACTTCCCAATAATTATTACCCAATGTATGGCATGGTAACCCTCCTATCAGCCAGCCTAAAATCACGACGTGCATGATCATTGATACAAAAAATGAAGCCAATGGTGAATCGTAACGTGTGCGCCTCAGCAATATAGCCTTGCGAAGTTTGCAATTTTCAGTCATATTGTGTTACGCGCGGGAAATACATACCCTTTTTCCGAAGGAGGTATATGTATTTCCCGCGCGTAATACAATATGACTGAAAATTGCAAACTTCGCAAGGCTATATTATCCGCATTTTACAACATTTCGCAACGAAACTTTGGAATATTACTAATTTCGTGATGCTCTTTCAAGTTGTGATGAAATTTTTGTCTAGACTTGTTGCGATCTAAATTTTAGTCACAAGGTGAAAGGTCCATTCGTTGACTGTGATCACTTTTGTTACAGAAAACAATCCACGAAACGTGCAAACATTAGGTACGTATTTACCTTAAATGTTTTTTATTAAAGCGAAAAATATTCCAAGCCTCCCCCCCCTTTCTGTTAAAATTGCCTCCCTTCCTTCATAGCATATTTGGTTATTACATCATAGGAATCAACAGGGTACGAAAATGGACATTTTCAGCTCAGGCCCGTGCCAGGTGGTTTCTCGCCCTTACCTTGGCCCGCAACCCACAACTCGCATCAGATCGTAAACCTGATGTTCAGGCACCTCAACCTGCTCAGGCTGGTCATGCCAGACATGGCGATGTCGTGATTGAAATTGATCAATTTTGCGCTGATAATACTGCATTAATACAAGATAAGTGAACTATATATAGTTATAGTTTCCAAAGTTAAAGAGGAGACTGGGATATAGTCGCTAAATACCTACCTAACATGAACACTGTGGCATGCAATAGACCTTTCCCCTTTTAAGTGAAATTTTGATCTAGACAAGTCTGGATAAAAATTTCATCACAGCTTGAAAGAGCATCACAAAATTAGTAATATTCCGAAGTTTCGTTGCAAAATGTTGTAAAATGCAGATAATATAGCCTTGCGAAGTTTGCCGTTTTTCAGTCATTTTGTATTACAAATGGGAAATTGATAATCAGATGATCAAACTGATTATCAATTTCCCGTTTGTAATACCAAATGACTGAAAAACGGCAAACTTCGCAAGGCTATATTATCCGCATTTTACAACATTTCGCAACGAAACTTCGGAATATTACTAATTTTGTGATGCTCTTTCAAGCTGTGATGAAATTTTTGTCCAGACTTGTCTAGATCAAAATTTCACTTAAAAGGGGAAAGGTCTATTGATACACCAGGCGGAAATCTTAGTTTAAAGATAAAGAGCAGAGCCCAGCAAATAACTTTAAAGCCAAACGTAATAAAAGTAAAAAAAATATTAGCTAACGTTTCGTTGTTTACAATACAACATCTTCAGAGCAATCACGAATTTACAGGGTATGGTATGTAATGTTTACAACATGAGCGGCCGTGTTGTATCAGATATACAAACTCGAGCCGAAGGCGAGAGTTTGTCATATATCTGATACAACACGGACGCGAATGTTGTAAACAACTTAAAAAACGGCTCATCTTATGAGTTCATTGGCGAAGTAATTTTAAAAATAAACGTTGTCTAAGCCGAGAAAATCAAAGTTAAAGTTTATGTAAATCAACATGAATCTGTACACAGTAAAAACAAATTGGTTAAAATGACCAATTTAAATTGGTTGCAACCAATTTAAATTGGTCATTTTAACCAATTGAAGAATAGGTTAGTCTGACATGACCAATTAAATATTGGTCATTTCGACCAATACATAATTGGTTGAATTTTTAACCAATTTAAAATGGTAAATTTAACCAATTTCTTTTGATCAGTCAATGTTGAATTTCCCAAAATAACCAATAAAAATTGGTCATATCCCCAACCAATTTAAAATTGGTCATATGCATAACCAATTTAAATTGGTCATCTCTATAACCAATTTTAAATTGGTCGAATCCATAACCAATTTTTAATTGGTCAAATCCCATAACCAATTGTAAATTGGTCAAATGGGTAACCAATTATTAATTGGTCAATTCCCATAACCAATTGGAAATTGGTCAAATGCATAACCAATTTTTTAATTGGTCAAATCCATAACCAATTCGAAATTGGTCAAATCAGTAACCCATTCTAAATTGGTCAAATCTGGCAGTGTTTTCTGTTATCCAATTCTGCATGTAATTTATTTCTGTAATGCATCCATACCTTTGTTGGCCTTTGTTGTTTTACTCAGTCAAACACTAGATTTTACTCGTAAAGAGGGGAGACCTTTAGTCAATACACCACAGACACAGTGTCAGTGACAGTGGCTAAACTTTGATATTGATTTTATATTTCAATTGTATTTATTTAGTTTACCTGGTCAAAATTTTGCCGTCCGAGTTAATTTTAAATTCTTCATGAGTTCATGGAAACTCTATTTACACAAAATATTTGCTGCCGAAGGCAGCCTCCTATTCTTGACGATGTGTTATAGCGCATTTGAATTTCCCGCCAAATGAAGTATCGCGTTTACTCGTGTCCAGTCTCTTTGCCCGAGCTATGTATTGTCGAGATCTCGATTTTGTGTCTGTCGGTAAAGATGTCGTAATTCCGGGGAAATAATTAAGGATTCAGGAAGTTTTTTTAAACGAGGGGGGCGGTCAAACTTTTTTGTCTTGCACAAATGCACTGTACGGGCTTATTTAATACATTTTCATGATGCAAACTGACATGGACAATATTTTCAATAATTCAGGTAAGGATAGCTTTATTTCTTTTTGGTAATATTATATATACATGAAAGCATTTATATTTAGAACACTATGCCGTTCATGAATTTAGATTCAGCATGAATTTATCATAAATTTCAGAATTTACGCTGTCCGGCCTGTCCCTGCACTGATCGCCTTTATACAAGTAGTCAAAATCTACTTTTAGTTTATTTGTTTGTGTGGTGATGTCTAAAGGCGATAGTTTAATTATAGTGTTTATTCTAGTGTTTATTCTACATGTTTATAGCAATGTGCTTTCAGCAGGTTTTAACAAACGTGGAATGTTGAGTAGCAGGGCTTAATGATCAGGCTTAATATATTTAAATATAATGTTATCCCTATACGCAGTGGTGGCGCCAGAAATTTCCCGACGCAGGGGCTAGGTTCCCCGACGGGGGGGCTATGCAAATTTTTTCGTGGTTATGCGTATTAAAGTAGAAATTAATGAATACATACTAACATATTTTATGTAACTAAAATATACAATTGAGCAAGCATAATGTGTTCTTTATAAAATATACGAATCAATATACAAAGTTTATACAGTAGGAAGTTCAGACACGTGTGTCCCTCGCGGAAACATAAAATTTTAGGAAGTGTAGTTATTATCCATGATGAGCTATGAGCTCCCACGATGAGCTATGAGCTCTTGGAGAAAATGTGTCTAAATAAATATGTTTATATAAAAAAAAAAACTCCCACAGAAAAATCCATCCAAATTCAAAGAGAAATTCTGCATTTGGGAAATCTGGCTTTGAACCTATCTACTACGTTATCTAAGTCCAGTTTTTCTCCTCGCTCGCGGTGAATTCCCAACATCATAAGGCTATCCAGACGCTCCTGTTTCATTACTGAACGGAGTTCATTCTTTATCAGCTTCATTGAACTAAAATTTCTTTCACATTCAGCTGATGAAACAGGTAAAGTACAGGCAATCAGAACAATGCGATGCAGCTCGGAGAATGCTTCCTTTAACGTCTCCAGGTAAGATAGCATCTGAAGAAGTCCTTTTGGGTGATCTTCCTTGTCCTTTCGTTTAAGCAAGTGATGAAAGGTTGCTATTTCGCAGCGTAGGCAATCGGTATTGACATTAAATAACTTTGCAAAAGCCACAAGCGAATCTTCATCTAGGAAGCTGGAAGAACTTGGGCACAATGAAGTAACACCTTGCATCATAACAATGTTCTTCTCGTCAAATCTTCTTTTAAGTTCTGCATTTACTTTGTCTACCATTTCGTAAACGTCTCGAACGAATTCATCGAAACCCGCTTGTCCGAGATTCTCTTCGATGTTAGCTTCCACATAAAAATCCCGTAAGCCGCTGGCGGTCATCTGTTTCGAACAGGTCGTACATCGTCTGGTAGGTTTAAACGGTCGGCAACATCTTCAGCTTCATCCCAAAACTGCTGGCATTTCTCTCGCGAGCGGCAGGCGTCTACTTCCTCTTTAAGAGTTGTAATAAGGTCAATTGCATTAGATAGATCGTTGGTTGGCTTCTGCAACATATCTGAGGCAAACTTCGCTTTCTTCAAAATATGCTTGGTAACTAAAAGATATCGCACAAAACGGCGATCCATCTGTAGCTTAAATCCATTCGCATCAACAACACGATCGGCATCAGTGTCATTGTCAATGATTTCTTCCAACACTTCGTGGACAACTTCGATCCTTTTTGCCATTGCACTCAACTGTTTAGCCTGGCATGCCCACCGCGTATCGGAAATATTTCCAATTTCCATTCTTTTTAGGCCACGGATTTCTTGCGCTTTCTCCCATCGTACATGTACAGTGCTGGTGCCAAGAAATGAATGTATCTTTTTAATAAGAGCGATCATATTTGCCACACACGTGATCGAATTCACCACATCAACAATTACAAGATTTAATCTGTGACAGTAGCAATGCACGTAGTAGGCCATTTCAGAACCAGTTTTTTCTCGAAGTTTCTTTTGCACTCCATTCAACCGACCAGCAACCACAGATGCTCCATCATAGCCCTGCCCAACACAGTTCTTCATATTGGCATCAATCCTCCTTAACTGGCTGATAATGGTATCGGTAAGACCGTCGGCATCCAAACTTTGTGCTTCGGCAATTCCAACAAATTCTTCATGGATACCGTTATTAAGACAGTACCGCACTGCAACGACAACCTGTTCCTTTTTGCTAGTATCTTTAGATTCATCAGCAAGAACTGTAAAATATACAGCTTTGCGAACTTCTTCTTGAATCTGTTCTAAAGTCATGTCCTTCATAATATCTAACAAAGCATTCTGGATGGTGTGATGGATGTATTTTGCATTTGCAGGGCCGTATCGAATTCTTTCAGCAATAACTGAGTCATGTCTGGCAACAACGGAAAGAATAGCCAGAAAATTGCCACACGATTGTCCAAACGTAAGAGATTTTCTTATGATGTCTTTAACGCGAAATGATCTGCCAGTCTCCCGCTGGGCAATTTTCTGTTGGGCAGTAACAAGAAGAATTTCAGCTATAGTGCGCAAATAGTGTCTATTATCCTTTATCTGCTTTGCGTGCTCAGCGTCCTGAAGTTCAGCAACAGATTGGAATTTACCAGATTTGATATCCAGGTAGTGAGCGTGAGCTGCAACAGATTGAGCATGCTGAAAGCTGGTTTGATGTTGAAGCAATTTGTTGTTATTCGGTTTCGTTCCATAGCACTTTTTCCAATTCCGCATACCATGGGTAACAAAGGTCGGCTCTTTTCTTTCGGCGAAGAAATGTCGGCAGTAAAAGCAGTACACAGCGTCTTCACATTCCGAGTATTCTAACCACAAGTATTTATCATAGAGAGAGGGATTAAATGACCTGTACTGTCGACCAATTATATGAGAAGGGAATTTAATCTTTCGAGGTTGCACTGGTTGATCATCTTTCGTCAAAGAGATATCATTCGGTCCTGATAAATTTGTTGCTAGCTTAGACCCCTCATGTACACCACTGCTATTACTTTGTCCATCAGATTTATCTATGAATAAAAAACATGAACAAACTCGATATAGAGTACTGTATTGGGAATTGTGTCACCCTTTTATAATTCATTGCTAGTTATGGAAGTGCAATATATTGTCAACTTTATATTCTATGTCAAAATTTAAAGTATCTAAAAATGAAAATATATACCTATGCTCATCATATCTCCAAGACCAGCAGGATCAGCATCATCTGACCCATCATCCGACAATTCACCACCCGAGCTAGTTCCGTCACTTTCTTCTATCATGTCCTCTTTTTCTTGATGTTCAGTTAGAATAGGTTCTAAGAGTTTGAAAGAAATGGCAACTATTAAATGAAGTTAATCAATGTGATCAAAAATAGGGGTAATAATTGTTTCAATGTCGCACTTTATTATTTATTTATTCATTTAATTATTCCGTACTGTATGACACGTATGGACGTCATCTATTTCTAAGGAGATATTCACGGAAATTTACCTTTTTGAGTGTTTCTAATTGACTCTCCATGGTCTGTTGCCGGTTCATCACCTTCCTCTGGTTCAGACAATGTTGTAATCTCAACGCTAGTGGCTATTTTTCTCTTTTTCGCACCACTGGAATTTGAGTCGTCGGCAGGAGTTGAGCGGAAAAAGGCATCCATTTTACTTTGACGAGTATCAGACTTATCCAACTCAATGGTTACGGGTGCCTGACGACCAGACGCGTGAAGGTCTTTGTGTTTAGATTTTGTATGTTTCCCAACGTAGTCGTTTTGAAAAACCTCATGACAAACTGTGCAACGAACTTTAAAGCGCACAGCCTTTGCCATAAAGAATACGTAACCAGCAAATACAGCCAAATACGTTTTTAGAGCGAGTATTGCTTTCCGATTTCCAAATTGGAGATGATTGCCGGTTCACGTAGAAATATTGCGCAGAACACTTATTTCGTGTGGAAAGTCGTCGATGTCCTCTTGAATGCGCCAAGCGAGATAGACTGAAATATCTTTACTGTATTATAAGAGTTATTTACATAAAATGCGCAAGTGTACATTGCTACGTTTATATATGCTCCGCGAAAGCTACATTTAGAATATGAGGTAATTACAATGTTGTCATTTAGCGTGCTATATTTATGTATTGATGACTAAACAGTTTTGTCTGCATGTTGCAATACCATTGCGTCAGCAGAATGAATACCCATGCATGTGAAATTAATACCATTGCGTCAGCAGAATGTTTGGAATGTCTGGTACGTAAGCGAACTTGCATAACGCGTGTACTATAGTGCAGAAGTGAATAAATATTAACGAATTTAACGTGAATGATTAATTAACGTGGTAATACGCGGGAGAACGAACATGGCGACAAGATCATGTTTTTCGGAATTCCTTCAATTTTTTCTCCGTTTTCCCCGACGAATCTATTAATTTTCCCCGACGGGGGGGCTAGAGCTCCCCGACGCCAGCCCCCCCTTGGCGCCACCACTGCCTATACGTACTATAGTATAGCATGCAATCCTGTGTGGATATTGTTGTCTGCAAGGGCGGATTTTCATTTTATAAAAGGAGGGTGGCAAAATATTTTCTTGTGGGGTGCAAGCAGCACTAAGTGAGAGGGGTGAAGCTACGGGTTGGTGGGGTTGAACACTTTATAACACCTTGGAGTTAGAGAGGGGTTATAACCTCAACTAGCCCCCCCCCCGTAAATCTGCCCATGGTTGTCTGCACATATTAACTCACCAGCAGTTACATGTAATAGCATATGTCAACCGACTTTTGTACAAGGTATGGCAGTCTGTAAAGATATATCTCTGAGATACCCATTGTCAGATTATTAAACTGTATGAAATAATCCTACCGGCTTACATAATATATTCATATTTTAACCTAGCTGTGTCACTTCTGTTTAGGGTATACTATATTTTTTGATAATGCTCACAATTTCTTTCTTATTATATAGTTTTGAAGTTCTGACTGAGTACAATCTTAATCATTACAAATGAATGGTGTCGTCTGAAACTGATGTATTAAAAAAAATGTCAGTTGTTCTGTGATAGAGGTAGTTTTGTATTATAGTATTTCTATACATGAAATTGTTATTAAATTCTACATGTCTAATGATTCATTCAAGTATTATTATCGTTTATGTACTATATATAAATATATGATATTGTACAGTATTCAGTGGCAAGCTAGTCATGGCTACTGGTCATGCTATATGCCTATGCTGATAAACCTGCATCTATTTGAATGATACAAATCATTAAAAACTTGCATAGCATGACCTGTTGCTTTGGCTAGCTTCACCACTGACAGAACTATAATTATACATACAAAAGCAAGAAGTTATAAGCATTGAAGGTATTCATATCAGGGCACGAAATAACGGCCGATCAACGATTAATGGGTCATTCCATTTATTTTCCGCACCCCCCCTATGGATGAGCTCTAGTCAAAATTTTACCTGTAGGAATCGGATTTCAGAGAAGTACCCCGTTGGAATCGACGATATACACCTAAACCCTCGGAATGTGTAAATCTTGTGATGCCAGATGCTGAAAAACAGTGTCATTCCCCCCTCATGGATAAGATCTGGTCAAAATTTTACCTGTAGGAATCGGATTTCAGAGAAGTACCCCGTTGGAATCGACGAGTCTGTGGCCAATTCCCAATATCTGACCACTAGGAATCGGCCCAAGGAATCAGCTAATTCCCAATATCTGACCCATAGGAATCCGCTCATCCATATGGGGGGTGCGGATAATAAATGGAATGACCATTATGGTCGGCAGGAGTTTCTTTTGATCTGCAGAGAAGCAAGGTTGCCGATCATCTTGATCAAAAGCATGGTAAGTTAATGTTGTTATGAACACCATGCAATACTACAGCATTATCACAAAACATATAAACAGAACATATAAACAGAACGTATCCTGTGGCCAGATTTTCATCTGATCAGCAGAGAATCATGACTGCTGATCACCATGATCGGGAACGTTGGAAACATTATTTCAAGCCCTGTCATATAAAACCACAGGTGGCCCAGGCTCTGTCTGGGTATTTATTTGTTTTTTAATTTTATTATATTTTGCATTAAAAATTTACTTTAAATTTTAAATTTTAAAGTATAACTTACTTAGTTTCCTTTATGTATTCTTTATGTATTTGGCGGTGGTTTTAGTTTGATATAATGATATAAAAACATCATGCGAATAATGTTAGAATTATTATTATTATTAAAACTTGGATTTTACAAACTTAAACAGTTGAAATACATCCATAAACATAACTGTATGCTTAACTATTACATGTAAAATACGAATAATTATTATAAAAATTCTCAGATTTGTTAATTATGGATATGTAACCTACGACTAAAAACGGTTAAACTTTGATAAGAGTCTGAAGCCTAGGTACTAAGAATTATTAAAACGTTCGACAGACGACGGAATAAAAGAGTTTTTGAAGCGGTTTGTGCATTTGATTGGTGAAAGTTTATTTGGGGCACGTAGATCATTGCAGCGATCTTTACCAGACCTGATAGCGGACTACAATCCTTCACAAAATATATTGTCTTTTGAGACTTGCATATTTATTTATAAAATCAGCAAATTCCTACCATCAGGTGAGCCTGTCCCTCCAAAACAATGTTGACTGTTATTGCAAGCATAAGCATTGTGCTTCACAATTTCAACTCAGTCACGAGCAACATTGCTCTGTAGGGGGGAGGGGAGAGGAAATTACACTTTCACATGGGTAGTCTCATAATTTTTGTGAAGGATTGTAGACAACTTTATTCTTAAAGAATGCCGAGCACAGTTGTTCACGTCTTGAATGCAAAGTTGGAATGTTACGGACCACTAGTGCGTCGTAATAGCGGGATTATATAAGGGTATTCAGCAAATTGTGCATTCTGCCATTAATCCCTTGGGGATGAGGCAGCACTTTCCTTGCGATAGTAACTTCTAGTTATAGTGTTTGTCGTGTGACATATAAACATGCAAACGAAAATTCTCACGATCGACGAGCGCGGTTTCGCACGGACAGGCTGGGACCTAGTTTTCCGACAACACGCGCAAAGCCTCCCGGGATAGCGTCATCACACTGACGCCGCCATATTTATTCGAAATTTTTATTATTCATTTTGATTTTTTGTTGCCTGTAAAAATGAGTATTTGAAGGCAAGACGATGCCTTTTAACGAGGATAAAACATCAGGATGATTGCCTAGCATACAGGTAAGAATATTGTTATGTTTTCCATATAATAGAGCAATTTTGAAACGAAATATTTGCAATCTTCATTCGTGAATTTTGAACCATGTGTTCCGGCTTAAAATTTGAATTTGCCGCGACAATATTTGAATTAAAACGATAATATAAATACATTAGTTTTTACAAAGGCTTGCATTTGACCCTAGTTTATATATCGAATAATATGACAGATAATTTGTAACAATGTTTCTTGTCTAGAATAATATAGCTTTATAATTGGCATCATTCTACATTGGGCTATTCCATTTAATATCCGTACCCCCCCCTGTCGAGGATCCCTGGAATTCTTCAGGGGGTGAAGGGTTTTGAGCTTGGAATTCTTCGGGGGTAAAAGGTTTTGAGCTTGGAATTCTTCAGGGGTAAAGGGTTTTGAGCTTGGAATTTTGGAATTCTTCAGGGATAAAAGGTTTTGAGCTTGGAATTCTTCAGGGGTAAAGAGTTTTGAGCTTGGAATTTTGGAATTCTTCAGGGGTAAACAGTTTTGAGCTTGGAATTCTTCAGGGGTATGACAATGAAAAACATGTATCCTCGACAGGGGGGTACGGATATTAAATGGAATAGCCCATTTCTACTCAATCCTCATATCATGTGCCCACTTATAAAGCACGTCCCAGCTAAACATGGCTTGAGAGAATTTATTGACTTTAATAATATCAACTGCTAATTTCATAAGTTTCAAATGTTTATTCATATATATATACAGTATAAGTGGGTCGGTTTAGATAAAAATGTTAATTTGATGTGTTATATGGCAACTTGATTTATTGACTGTTAAGTCCTAAAAATGCATGAATAATAATACTCCAATAAGCCTAATTTTCAGCACTTTGTTAAAATTAAATGTTATCTTAATTAATGCCGGACAATTTTATTTGTCCAGGGAAGTGTCTAGCTAGACTCTGCCCATGTTTCATGTTGACATATTTAGATGCAATTTTACCTAACACTCCCCACTTTAACTACTGCGATATTTAACTCGATGGTGGAGTGCTTGCCCATATTTCACGTTTTAAGTATTAACACCTAAGAAGCAATTTCCTCTTCTAAATGTTACCTACTTTAAGTTCTTTGAAGGGGTGTAGAGAATAGTCTTTTTTGCTATCCTGCTGGATACAGGATAGGTTGGATAGTTTTTGCTATCCAGCCAGATATGTACACGATATAGTATGTTGGATAGTTGAAAATATCCAGCCAGATTCATGGTATTATTATCCAAATATATATGGTTAATGCCTCATAAGTTTAAGGTCACTCCTTTAAATGGCGATGTGCCCAGCAGCCTGGATGCTCCCCACTGTATTATTTTACTTGTCAGTTGTCAGGAGGAGAGTGCTGACAGTCAATGGGTTAATCAGACTATCTGCCCATGCACCCTATCAACCCTTCAAGTGGCAATGTGCCCCACTTTATTATTTTACTGTCTAATTAGATGTCAGACAATTTCACTTGTCAGGAGGAGAGTGCTGCCACTCAATGGGTTAATCAAACTATCTGAGTGTCCATACACCCTACTAACCCTTCAAGTGGCAAAGTGCCCCACTTTATTATTTTACTGTCTAATTAGATGTCAGACAATTTCACTTGTCAGGGGGAGAGTGCCGCCACTCAATGTGTTAATCAAACTATCTGTCCATGCACGCTACTAACCCTTCAAGTGGCAATGTGCCCCACTTTGGATGTCAGACAATTTCACTTGTCAGAGTGCTGTCACTCAATGGGTTAAGTGCTTCACCTTCCCTAAATTTATTTCCACTTCCCCCACTATTTCCACCAAAAATCCAAAATCCATCCTTGGTATTATGGGAACTGTTTTCATTGGGAGATTGTTGATGTACTCTAAGTGTGTTTTGTCAGTAATATTATCAATCATATAGTCAGTCTTGATATGCATGCACTTATCTTTTCCTGTTTTACCTACAATCAACAGGATGGTGATGTTACAAAGAAGATCAAGAAATATGTATCTCCAAGACTTCTGCATGATGTTTGTTGCTGAAGGAATGGTTGTCACCAAACTGAAAGCTGTAAATATCTTAAATATCTGTATTTTGTTTGCATATTGTATGTGTATAGTGCTGAAGGTGTAACTTGACACAGTAAGAATGTGTTTTTATTTTTGGAACATATTCTTATTCCCTGCAGTGGAAAGAAGAGACTTACATGCATGTTGCTAATGCCAGTTAAACACTTAATTTCTTTTATGAAATAGAACATTGCAAGCATGCATGCATGTCCAAGGGTATCGCATACATACAGTTGATTCCGTTTGACCGATAGATATATTTTTATACAATATATTTTCACACAACAGAGCATTAATTAATATACAGTATGTGCATCAAATTAGGATTTCCATCAATGTTGGGATTGATTTTATTATATATAATTAATATTAGCCAAGTGAACATTATTTTGTGTGACCTCCTTTTGATTTTAGAATATAGCTTTAACTCTTTCTGGCATAGTTCAACAAGTGTTCTAAGTACTACTGGCTTAAGGTTATTCCAGCATTGATTAAGGACATGCTATACAGTAGGTTGTCTTTACTTGTTGTATCATGTTTCACTTTCTCTTGTTTCAAATGGTCCCATAAATTCTCAATAGGATTTATGTCCCGAGATTGAGGAAGAAAATTTTGTAACAACTAAATCGCCTTTCTCGTGCTTTCTTCTTAAATAATTTTTACACATGTGAGAAGGGTGGTTCGGATCATTATCCGTTGCAAGACAAATCTCCTTCCACACAATCTTGAGCTACTGTAGATGGTATAGTGTGATCTGGTTGTTCTGGATTTCTGCCTCAAATTCCAGCCGGACCTAAATCCTATTGAGAATTTATGAAAAGTGAAACATAATCCCACAACTAAAAGCAGCCAACCAATAGCATGTTGTTAATCAATAATTCTGGAATAACCTTGAAAACCATCAATACTATTCTAAGAAAAACCATATTAAATACTAAGAAAAAACCATCAAAATTTGTTCAGTCTACATGTATGCCAGGAAGAGTTTAAGCTGTTTTAAAATCAAAAGGAGGTCACACAAATATCAAATAATATAATATTCACTTGGCTAATATAGTATAACAATTCCAACGGTAGTGTATATCCTTATTTGTTGCACATATAGTAGTGTGTTGTGTCAAAATGTATTGTATATCAATATAAAAAGGCAAGATCATATTGACTGGACTCAGACTTTTGACCAGTGGCGTATAAGGTGACTTTTCCAACTTATTTAACAACTATTTTAAAATAATTTTCAGAATTGTCCAAGATTTCACTCCCAAAATGCTTGAAATCGCATTTCAGGGGATCTAGATTTTAAAATTTTCTTGGGGGTGCATGCCCCCGCCCCCCCCCCCAGACGGTCTCATGCCTTGCATGAGTCCCCCCCCCCCTCCAAAATGAAGGTCTGCGTAGTACGCCACTGCTTTTGACCCCCACTGTATAACGATGAACTACTTGTAATGTGCAAGCCAGGAGAATCAAATGCGAAGTCCTTTGTCGTTATGTTTTCTCCTTTTATAACAATCCTTTTATTTGACAAATCAACTTCCATATCATCCTCCAAAATTATCAATCACAAAGATCAACCCATCTTCTCCAAGTAAAACAATATGATCTAGCAGCATGCGTTCGCAAAGCACGTTGGGCTGTGACAATGACAATATTTGTAAGGGGCGGGATTACAGTTGGCGCGCAATAGATAGAAGCCGTTTAATGCGTGCCATGCACTTCGTTGCCATTGTTGTTTTTGCTAAATAAAGTTTCGATAACTATGTCCATAGTGAAAGTTAATTATTTACGACTATTATGCTGCAAAGAGAGCAACGCTCGTTTTTATGATAGAAGAAAATCTAATGAGTTTCTCTTACGATGGATTCGAAACATGCACGTCTTACAACCGAAGTTGACGACACGGAAGTTGATTTCTCGTCGTCTTACTTCAACTTTCAAATAAAAGGATTGTTGGAGAAGGAGAAAAATATCACGATAAAGGCCTTCGCATTTGCTTCTCCTGACTTGCACATTACAAATATAGTTCATCGCTACATCAACAAAATCTAAAATTTGATTTCGTCTACAATATTACATCTCTGTTTGCAGAAATGGGCTTTCCGTTTTGATCCGCCACATTTCTCTAAATCCAACTGTAATTCCGCCCCTTTGGCTCTAGAATTTACGGTCAAACGGAGTCCGCTGTGAAATATGAAATGGTTCTCTGACTGCATGCATGCATGTAAATATTTATTTTCACAAGTTTTGGCTATATGACTTGATAGCCTTCGACGAGTAAATATTGTAGAAATATTTACAGTCAAAGAGGTTTCGTGTGACGTTTCATCCCTATAAGTTATTATATTGCATATACTGTATATTGATTTTGTATTTTAATCTTTAGTTAATATTTATTTGTTAATAAATTATTGTTTTTCAAGCACGTTTTGAATGGTTTAATGGCGAAATAGAATGCAATTTTGATCATTTTAACCAATTTAAATGTTTAACCAATTTTAATTTGGTCATTTGAAATTGGTTAAAATGACCAAAAAAAATTGGTCGTTTGAATGCGTCTGAGACAACCAGTTTAAATTGGTCTTTTTAACCAAATAATTAATTGGTCAAATTGACCATTTATTTATTGGTCAAAACAACCAATTATTTCCGGTTGTTTTGACCAATAAATAATTGGTCAATTTGACCAATTAAATAATTGGTCAGTTTGACCAATTACTTTTTTGGTTAAAACGACCAATTTAAACTGGTTGTTTCAGACGCATTCAAACGACCAATTTTTTTTGGTCATTTTAACCAATTTGTTTTTACTGTGTATCACATATACAGATACGACACGCTTATGATTTTTCTTTGTGTTTTCTTCATGAATTATTAATGAGTTTTTTAAATATATTTACAAAATAATGGTTTAATATTACAAAACGGTTACATAGTTTGAAAGAACAAATGAATAGAAAGAAAGGAAAACAACTTATCAGTAACTAGTTAATAAGTGAAGATTAATGTTAAGTGCATGGTTAGTATATATAGTTAAAGTTAATATTACATAACTAAAATAACGTATCAGTGACTAGTTAATAAGTGAAGATTAATGTTAAGTGCATGGTTAGTATATATAGTTAAGGTTAATATTACATAACTAAAATAACTCAGAAAGAAAGAAAGAAAGATTTATTATGCACATGATATTAGTATTTACAAATTATCTGTTGAGATTATAGAACTTAAGAATTATTACATAATGATGTTATTATAAATTTAGATTGGATGTGCGCAGTATAGGCTAGATCTAATATTAGCATTAAGGACAGGGTTAAGTTGAGAAATTAACGATGGATGTGCGCAGGGCTAGATCTAATATTAGCATTAAGGACAAGGTTAAGTTGAGAAATTAATAGGCTTTCACGGATATAAGAAGATCCCATGTTTGGCTTTAAAGTTATTTGCTGGGCTCTGCTCTTTATCTTTAAACTAATATGAATGAACACGTTTTGTAATTGCATGGCTTTCTATCACAAAAGTGACCAGTGTTTATGATTCGTTCTTTAGAAATATAATTTCTGTAGTTCTCATAATCAACCGATCACAAAGCCAGTTCATATATAGGTAGGGACCGACGATGTTACTGTAATATATCTTTAATAATTGGTTGATTTTACTAACGATGATTTGATGTTAAAGCTGTTGATCTGTATTAAATCTTGACATTTATTTTAAGCTGCTTTTTTAAACTTTTCAAAATGATTTTTTCGCCAATGATTAAAAAATGCTTGTCATGATCACATTCGTAATAATATCGATGAAGTAAATATCAATTCTATGAATAGCACTTTTTTGAACGTAGAGCTTTCCATGGGCGGATGTCTTTACAAAGCGGTGCCTAGCACCTCCCTAGATAAGTCCAGCACCACCCTAAAAAATTTACTTGACCATACATTTTCTGCTTTTCGAATAGCGATTAGGGGAACTCCTATACTGGTAACATGTTAGCGCGTGTCGTTTCTTGAAACGATGTAATTCATTTGTGAGCTCGCGACAAAATAATGAGAATGATTTAGTTAAATATCATGGTTAAATACGTAAACATGTCGAGGTTGTTATAGAGCCATATTTTCGTATATACTGTACTTTAACAATGAACAAGTAAATTTACTGTAGTGTGCTACAGTAACTGTCTAGTTCGCATACGTGCAGATAAAAAGCCAATATCAACTTTATAAACAAAAGATATTATAATATAGCATTTGTAAATTCTGAACGCTGATTGGCTAACAGCCGTGTTGGCATAACTCAATGTCAACACGGAAAATTTCTTTCTTTATGCTTCTTTGTGCTACTGATTATTAAAAAATATATAAAAAGTTTTTCCATATTGATATCCAGTCATTTTTCCGTATTGATATCCGCCCTCCCGACGTCGTGTTTCCACACAATTGCCAAGCAGGAAATTCGGAAATTGTATATGTAAAATAGCGCACGAGCGTCGCTCGCAGGCACCTTTCGAATTTGCGCAGGTATGTACATTTTAAAATATTTAACTCCCAACATATTCTACAAAATTTAGCTCCCGAAACCTTAAAACTGATTCATTTTTGCAGGCACAATTTGAAGCTATGCATTTTGCTTGCAGACACTAAAAATATAAATAAGCCTTGACCAATGATATATTTCTTGTGTTCCCTTCTTGCCGTCAAGTTAAATTATCAGATTACAGTATTGAATCAATTACATTGTACAATTACATTGTATAAATGATAATAAAATACAATGATTTAGGCAATACTTACCAAATAGAGAGCTACACAAAATGAAAAACTACTAAACATTACATGTTATAATAAATTATTCTAAAAAACAATATATTATTTTAGTCTATACGACTTACACCAAAAGAGTTTGTAATATTTGTAAGCAATTGATGTTGGACAGATAAACTGAACTATCTTAGGGTGATACATTTAAATTTGTATCAAGCCTCCTTAATCCGTCAACTAAATAAATCTCACCCCCCTTTTCAGAAGAGGAAATCTAAACTGTCTTTTTTAGTTCCGGCCACGTTTTGCCCACTGTGTAAAGCAGAATAAAGAAAGTATTAATATCAGTTTCTAAAATCTTTGAGAGTCAATCACGCAGAAGCTTAATTGTTCTTTGAGTAATGATTGAACGTTCATTTGAATACTTTCATATGCACATGCGCAGTCAAAACTCCGAATTGGTCAGCAGGTGGCCGTGGCAACGGAGTGTGAGAGAAAGTAGCCTCCATGGGCGTATACCGGAAGGAAAAATTTAGGGGGGCGGAAAGAAATGTGCCCGACTTTTCCGGAATTTGCCCGACTAAAATTTTTTTCCCCCAACAAACTGGGGGGGCTGCCGCCCCCCCCCCCCGCCCGGTACGCCCATGGTAGCCTCTGGGTACGAGGTTGACGCTATATATGCCGACCAATTTCGTACCAATTGATTCTTTGGCTCTGGGTACGAGATTGTTTGGTATTGTATTTGGATGAGATTGGCTGGTAAGCGGAACATGAAACGTGCATGGTAACGCCATTAGTCTGACGTCAGAGAAAAATATGGAAAACACGGAGTCTGACGTCAGAGAAAAATATGGAAAATACAGAGTCCGCGTTTTCCCAGTCCAGTCCGTCTTTTACAACATGCCTCTTGGTATATCGTGACTGTATCAGATTTGTTAGAACAACCTTGAAACAAGTCTGATAATTCCATCAAGCTTGTTACAAGTTGTTAACAGCTTGTTCCAACAACTGGGAAAAGTAGTGCCAACACAACGTGTCGACAGGCTGACAGCTAACAGCTTGTGAACAAACTTTGTAACAACTTGTTTGCAGACTTGTATAAACAACTTGTGCGTTTTTATGAATAAATTATATATACTCGAAAATCGGGGTAGTCCGAACAGTCATATGTGACTGTCTTCTTTTCCATTCCATTAGTGTTCCGAAAATCCGGAATACTTCGACAATGAAACAGCTTGTTGGTCTTTCGCCTCGCCCGTTTTTAGGTGTCCCGCGGTGGGCTGACCGTCTGCCACGCAGGCTATTACGTGAAGGCGGCGTATTTGAGCAATTTAGTTGCATGTGCTTGTATTTCAGAGGATTTAGTGGCAATAGTACGAGATTGTTTTAGTGATGGAAAGTTTTTATACTAATTATTAAATACTTTTACACAATGCCACTGTCTAAAAATTACGGTTGCCATAGAGTTTTTACAGTGAATTAAACACAAACTGTCAGAAGCAATTGACACTCGACACTCACAATTGACACACGCAAGTTGTTAACATTGTCATTCTCTATGTTTCGACTATTAATGCCACCACGTTTTGTAGTGAGTTTTATAGATATAGGTAGTTGGTTTTTAGAAAACGTGGCATTCTGAAGATGACTGTAAATAATTGTCAGGTGAGTGACAATCACGTGTAAGCACGGTTAATAATTAACCGTGGTGTAAGGGGTGTTTCGAAAAGGAAGACCTACGAAAACGAAGACCTAAGATGGGTCTTCGGTCTTCGTAATTACGAAAACGAAGACCCATCTTTACGAAGACCCTAAAATATTCATTTACATACATTGTTTTCGCGAAAATAAGCGTAAAAGTGTCTGACTCGTCCCTAGTCGCTTACCTAACGCGCGTTGAATTACCCAACGCGCGCCGATTGATGGGAACAAAACGCCTCGGGGCATTCTCATGGTCCTTTGCGTTAGAAACAGTGTTAGGGACTGTGGAAGAGTCGGCAAAAGTGTCGCGAAATGGAAGATTAAATTTCAATATGTTTTCAGGGGGTTGCTGCCTCTCGTTAGGGCACTTCCTAAGAACATAGGCGCATAGCGTACCAAAAAAGTCAGAAAAATCGTGAAATGTTACCAATTATTAATATATAGGCCACCAAATAATCATTTTGACTCATTCGAAACTGAAATGAATCAAATATTAGGACAAATAGACAAAGAAAACAAATTATGCTATCTAATGGGGGATTTTAATATTGATCTATTGAAATCAGAATCTTGTGATTATACCATCAGATTTCTTGAACAACTATTCACCTCATATGTCCCACTTGTGCTCAGGCCAACAAGAATCACTCAGCATACCGCTACATTAATTGACAATATTTTCACCAATCAATCAATCAATGAAGCTTTATTAAGAAAATACATAAATAGGTAACATGGTGTCCTTTCACTAAAGTGCTCTTCCAAGGAGCCATGTAAAAATACAAAAACAAAAGAAATTAGCTAAATATATATACATCCTATCATTATTTACAACTACTTAATCTTAGTATTAAATTTGAAAGTTAGAAAGTTTATTTTTGAAAAGATATATTGAAGCCTGACTTCTTATTTCATCCGGAAGATCGTTCCATAACACAGCCCCACGGTAGCCGAAGCTCCTTTTACCAGCCTCCGTTCTGGGTCTAGGGGTGAACATACTGTGCGAACTACCTCTAAGATTGTGAGAGTGGACTTCCGAGGTAGGTTCAAAAATAGTATTAAGCTCATTGGGATATAAATTATTCACTGCTTTATAAATACTTGTTGCGAGCTGTTTAGCACGACGTTGGTCAAGAGTTTCCCAACCAAGACTGTGTAGTATATCAGCTGATCTTACGTCATAATCGGAGAAGGTTATTATCCTACCGGCTCTGTTTTGCAGTTTTTGGAGTTTTTCAGAGAGGGTTTTACCTAGGCAGCCCCAAACCTCACTACAATAGTCTGAGTAAGGTAACACTAAGGCTTTATACATCAGAATCAATGTGTTTTGGGGTACAAAAGTTCGAATCCGCTTTAACGCCCCAAGACTTGCACTTATCTTGTTACAAATGGTTTCAATATGTAAATAATATAGAAATTATAGAATCAAGCTCAAATGGTTTAATTTTTAGCGATATCTTGGATCATTTGCCGATATTTCATATACGA